ATTAATAACTCAAGCATTTCTACTTCCAAAACCAATAACAATCATAATAATCATCATCATCATCATCAAAACAGTAAGCCAAAAACTATTTCTACAAAGATTTAATGACTCACAAGAACCATCCATTAACACAAAAAGGAAATCAGATCTCAAACACATGATACAAAGTATAAATAAACACCTGCTGAGCAGCCAAGCAATGGTGTAAAACAACCATCTGAGGATCTTGTAACGCACTATTCTAGGCCACAATGACATCCTGGGAAAAACATGCCATTTGCATTGTACCATAGATATGATAGAAACATGTCTCTGTGAACTCTTTGAGTCCCAGGCCGTTATGTTGAGTCTGTGGGGAAAAGCTCAGGCCACTGGGACGGATCAAGGAAGATGGTGCATACTCCGCTGTAGAACCAAAGTCTTGGCAGGAAGCACTCCACCTCCCAGGTGTTGGACGTTCGGTTGTAAATCTCCACTTCCACCCCGTAGTCCCCCTCCATGCCTTTCCAGTGGCCTCCGGTGACAAACAGCTTCCCATCCAGCGTTACCAGGCCACCATTCTCATGGAGCATGTGGAGAAGCTGGACCTGAAGAGAGGGAAAAGTCAACACATTGCTAAAGGCAACAAAACAGGAGAATAAAACGGATTACTTTTGCTATAATCATGTTAACAAAGGATTGTATTACTGTATTATGACTGCAGTCAGCAGTGATATGTAAGCCTACCTTCTGCCACATGTTCACCTCTGGATCATAAGAGTAGACTTTCTTAGTGTTGTCAGCAACCAGATATATAGTTCCATCCACACAGACAGAACGAGGAGAGGACAAATACTTTGGGATGAAGGGTGAACATATGCTGATCCAGCTATCTATAAAAACAAAACATGTAAACATATATGATTTAGAAGAATAAAAAAAGCGCCATCATGCCCCAATGAGGCAACACTATTAAATAAATCCTTACTCCTTAATCCAAACTGCAAATTTTGTGGTAAAAACAAAACTGCCTTATCGTCAAGGATTGATCAATAATGATAAACTCTTAATATTTACCCAAAATTGGAAAGACAAAAAATCACACATACACCAACTCACATATACAGAGGAAAAACTTGGTGTTGCAACAAATACTATACTATACAAATATGAAGATGTATGGTACTTTATCTCTGTAATTTCTCTAAAGAAGTTGTACACGGAAGCAACAGATATTTGGTTAAAATGCTATTATGATAAATAGCTCTTTAAGAAACTGTCTAACTAAAACTAAAACTAAATGAAAAACTGACATATCATGGGAAAACAGGAATAAAAATAAAAATATCCAAGCCTTAAAATGGCGACATTGGAAATGTAGCGACAAATGAATGCACCACCAGGAGGTTTTCTTACCTATAACAGGGTTGTAGCACTGCATGGTCAAAGCATTGTACTTCATAGCACACGAGCCAATCACATAGAGCTTCCCGTGACATGCTGTGGCGGTGAAGTTAGTCACATATTTTAAGGCGGGGCACGTCATGGCCCAGGTGTTGTTGTAAGGGTCATAATGCTCAACTTCAACACGGTCTGCTGTTGTACCTGAAGGAGGGAAATATAAGAAGAGTTAGAGATGAGTCGTGGTCTCATAAATGTAAACAAATACTTAAATTTAAAGATGTGTGTTTGCGGCAGCACACACCATCACCACCACACCACACATCTAAAACTACCTTGTACTTACAACCTGACCATATTTGAAACTATTCGACCACAAAGAAGATATATATGCAAGCGAATTCTGACAAACTATCACCAGATGAGCTACCTGAATTGATAAAAGTTTTCCATTGCACTGCAGGTTTAAGGCACCACATGCAGGACTGTATTTATTTTCTTACCTCCTATGACGTAAATCTCCCCGTTGAGCGTGGCCGACGTGTGGTTAGTCCGAGGCCGGAGCATGGGTGCCACAGTAACCCACGTCCCCTCTCTTGTGATGTACTTCCAGGTCTCTGTGGTGGACCAGGTGTTGGTATTCGAACCTCGCGAGCCCCCTGTCAGACAGACAAGAGCACTTTGTCAAAAGTCTGACAACGTTTCACATTCCCCACAAGAGAAAGTTCTGAGAGAGTTCTGCTCACAACTGTCTATCATTGCTTCTTTTCCTTTTACCCCTTAGGTTTCTGTGTTTTAACATTACTCACCTGTTACATACACATCATTGTTTAAGGAGACCATGGAGTAACCCCACTTGTTAGGGTTGGGGAAATTAGGGAGCTCATGCCACTGTTCTGTAGAGAAAAAGCATCATTTAGAGTGTGAGGGAAACTAGATGAAAGTTTTTACAAATACTGCATGCAAATGACCAGGAAAATATGTCACAAATGTCCTCAAGGGCCATTGAAGTGAAAGTCAAAGTTAGGTCAAAAAAGAAAGAATCTGTTAAAAAATTTAACTTTTCCGGCACTGCCCTCAGCACTGTGGCTTATGTCGTCACTGCCATAACATAAAAACCAGAAATCTTAGATTGATATGCAGCAATCTTTTCCTTAACATCCCATCACATAAAAAACACAGACAAACATGCCTTCTTCCAGCTCTGCACAATAAAACGCTCATTTGAGGAGCTGAGAAGATGATCCAATTTTGTCACATCCAGACTGCATTCCTGCAGGGCCGTTTTTCTGTCAACGCTACATTTAACAACTTACGACACATCTGCCAAACACTTTTTTCGAGGAATCAGACGGATATTTCCCAATAAAGTTCAGTTGTAAAAATGGATTCTGAACATTTTGATACGTGCAAAAATTTTTTGTACTTGTCGTCGTGTTGTAGAAGGCGCAGTTTCTGAGCAGCAGCCTTTGTAGCCTCGGGTCTCGGTCTTCATCTTCATCTGAGTCATCTTCATCATCCGAGTCATCCAGTGAACGACCTCCCATCACAAATAGCACTTCTTGCAGGTTAGGTTGCGGACTCTGAGAGTTAAGTCTGTCCATATATTCTGGTGCCAAATCCATTTTCTAGAATAGGAAAAAGTTATGACTGCTTTTGGAAATCTACTCAAATTGAACAAACAAAGATAAGAGAGAATAGAAGGAGGAAGTGTGAACTCACTGACCTGTCTGTGAATTTTTTCCACTGCCTCTCTGCAGCTGGTAGAGGCCTGCACCAGACTGTCCTTCAGCAGGGTGTCAGCCAGGTAGTCCAGGCTGAGCAGGGAAAGACGGGACAAGGTGAGGAGTTCAGGGAGGTGGCAGAGCCGAGGCTCCTTGTGGTGCCTGACCCATTTCAGGATGGCCTCCACACGGGTACACTCTGACCGGATTTGTAGTCCTTCGTCTGAGAGGCAAGTGACCAACCTGTCTTTTCCCAACAGTAGAAACTCCTCGCCTTGTTGTACAGCCTCAAAGTTCTCCAAGAGGAAGGCCCACGCTTTGGCCATCACCTCAGGGCAGCCATGGATCGCCCCAAACTCAAGGATTCCCAGGCAGTTGGTCGCATCGATCTGGTGTTGAAGGTACCGGCTGCACACGGCTCTCACTGTCTGGAACTGCAGCTGGCTGGAGGTGCAGATCAACCCCTCCACGTTGCTCTGGTTGATGGTCAGTTTGCCTGTGTAGGCAAAGTCCAGCAAGCAGCTGAGTATATCAGGATCAACATCGTGAAGTTCCACACGCGCAGCTATGCTCTCTACAAAGTCCCCTGAGAACATGCTGTGGAAGTACGTGCTGCAGAGTGCCAACACGCCTCGGTGACAGGGGAAGTCCCGGCCGCCTGCGCTCAGTGTTACATCCACCAGTTTGGGTTGGGAGCAGAGGGAGCGCAAGCCCTCCAGGATGCTCTGAGGATGGGAGGATAGGCAGAAGTCCAGGTCATCCACGTTGCGCACCATCGTCAACAGTTGTGGGTCAAATCGTCTTTCAGCAGGGATGGTCAGAAACTGAGTTTAGAGCTTAACTGTAAGTGCAGAAACAAATACATAAATAAGAATAAAATCTTTTTATAACATGTATCTTATAACAATTCAAATGTTGCAGTGCTGATAACAAAATATTTTATGACATTTAAGACATTTTTAAAGTAACTGCTTACAATTACAGAAATTGCCATTTAGAAAAACATTAGAATAATTGGTTATTTACTACTTATACTAAAAAGTGGAACATGATAGAATATGTTTCTTTACAATTAAAGGTGAAATAAAATGCTTTATTGTACTACGGTGCAAATCAAAGAGGCCTAAAGGGAGCTAAGGAGAAAATTAGATACATTTTGAGTGTTGACGTTTAGAACTTAGACAACAGTTTCTCCTCTGTGACCTTTTTGATTTGAGCAGAAAAATGAAAAGTATCTTGTAGTAAGTGCCTTCTGTTTTAAAGTGTGGCATCACTGTGTTCTTACGAGGACTACAAAAAGTACTTTTTGGCTCATGATATATTGTAATAGTCTGACTCTAATCTCCTCTAAAGCCAACAATAAATTACATTTCCTGTCATCAAATACTGTAAGATGAGATAAGTAACCAACAACAAACTCACCACAGGAGCAGAGAATGGAAATAATGGCTCATCCTTCCAGTAAAAAAGCGGTTTGTAGCTGAGCAGCTGGTTAGATCAACATGGAGTGGGCAGCATGGCGAAAAGTTATTGCCAAGTCACTGGGGAAGGGCTGCTTGTCGTTCGGTTATTTTTAGGACTGACAGTGACTCTGTGCTGAAGTCAGATTCCAAACAACATGCATGGGACCCACAGCTGCTGTGACAGGCACGTTTAGCATTTCTCAACAAGTCAACAAGTGGAAGCTAGCAAAGGAGATAAATGATGTAGCACCAACTTTGTTGTATGTTACAACAATTAATTAATAATACCACTATAATAGACAAAGTGCTATTTACCTACAAGTGGGTTAAGATATGTAAGGGTAGATTAAATGTGCCTTAAAATAATATAATAATGAATAATCAAGACCAGCCTTACAATAAATTAAATTACACAGTTATCTGTGTAATGATTTATTTTTTAATAATGCCAGATCACTGATTCTAGGCTGTTTTAGGAATATTTACCATTAAAGCTTAATTCATCTCAAAACAAAGATGTTGACTCTCAGGAAAACACACTAGAACTCTCTGCACTCTGGCTTTTGTTATAGGGCTTTGTTATAGGGCTGGGTACGGTTTGAAATATGTTGCCAATTAGATTCCTGAGTTTTGATAGCAGTACCAAAATATCTGCTAAATACCTTATATTGCTACATTCAAACATGTTTCACTAACAAAGTCCAAACTTCTGAAATGCATTAGAGTTTAATTTTTGTAACACACAAAAAATACAATATAAAATTAACAAAATTAATATTCAAATCAGGTATCATCTGATCAAATAGGTAAACAACGCTATGGATGTGGCTAAACATTCTGTGCTAGCTTTCGGTACTGGATAGTTGACAATTACAATTATTCAAATCTAAATTGAAACAGTTTTTAGGTTTGATACCCAGCCCTAATGTCATCTAACTGCAAACAATACAAAAATATCAAAAAGATTAAACAAGCAACTACTCAAAATCAAAAATCTCTGCCTCTTTCTCTTTCCAAAAAGCAAAACTACGGTCGATGTATTTACAGATTTCATCATTGCTGAAACTGGAAATGTCAGTTCCTTTGTGTAGCATTCCCTCATCAGGTGTGGGTGTCTGCACAAAGACTTTGGGGACCTGTCTAACCTCTGGGAGGCTATGTTTCACCACTTCCACAGTGCTTTCAGACTGACTCACAGTGTTTCCAAAGAACTTCACTTTAATGTCCTCGAAGCCATCCTTCCACTCGCGGTTCCCAGCCTCAATGTCCTGTATAACGGCCTTGTGGAAGTCCCTGACCATCTCCCAGGGAAAGCTGCCCACGTGGTCGAACACCTCGAAACACAGCAGGTGCCTCATTTTGCGTTCATCCACAGGCAGCTCCAGCTCCAGGATGTGAAAGTAGCCCAGCATGAAGAGATCCAAGGTCAGGTTGTCGTACTCCACCGGCACGCCATCCAGACGAGGCAGGAAGTGCTCTGGGGAGTAGAGGGCCTGCTGTCTGTGGAGCCTGTGGATAATACTGAAAGGTTATTCAACATGTATTAACAGTAGGCTGCAACTATAAGCTTCACCACTAAATATATGGATTTATTTTGTCCTTGTTCAATGACTTGATTAAATGATTTTCAAAATGTTTGATACATTTTCTGTCAATCGCCTATTATTACTAATACCACTGTAATACAATTTTTTCAGCATTCCAAAACAAAACTTGAATGCTGTTCAGTGGATATATTGTAAGTTGTATCCTGGACATTTAAGCAAATCACACTGAACAAACGTAAAAATAAGTTTAGATTTTAAAGCTGCGTTAATTGACTTTTTGGCCACTAGGGGGTAGCGTAACTGAACGAGCCTGGCTCATTAGCTTGCAAAGTTGTTTGTGAGCAAACTGTTGCTTATTAACACATTCAGCAGACATGGTATCATTTATTTGAAGTTGCGTTTCTGGCCACCTGACAAATTTAAGTCCAATGTTGAAAATGTTGGCTAGCTAAAACCTTCTTTACCAGATAGTTGCTAGCCTTGTCGGCTGTTTGTTTCTAAGCATGTAGCGTAGAGATGGTTAATCAGAGCTTGTATCTTCAAACAACTGCTGCTGGAACCAAGACAATAGGCTACTGTAAAATAGGCTAAGAGCTCCCTGGTTCTCTGTGGGTTTGTTACTTTGAGTGACTCCTTGCACATTATACATTGTCATTTGATCGATTGCTGATATAAAAAGAAAAGATTAGTGGAGCTTTAACATGTCTTTCCCTTTCTTTTAACAATATCTCAAAGACTTAGTTTTTTATTAAACTTCATGAAGGGATTGGTTACAGGCAAGGAACACCTATTCAATACCAGCTCTGTCTATGAATGAATGCATCTTTCTAAATGGACTGATAACTTTGATCCCAACAGTTCATAAAGTGGTCATAGTTCCAACATCTCAAATACTCAAAAAATGTCCACTGTAACACTTACTTGTGTTGTATAATTACTGTACTGATCAACCTTTGGGTGAATTTTTGGCATAATGTGAGTAGTGTACATGATAATAAATGCCACCTAGTGCGAAGAAATTCTGTTATAGAGTACGATATAAAAAGTCCTTCAGGCCTACCTGCGTATCTGCCTGGACGGGACACTGGAGATCATGTTCCTCCAGTTTCCCAGCATCTTGTTGACAGCACTCCTCTGCTTGAAGAAATGTCCCAGGGAACTGTTCATCATCTTTGACTGGGCACTCTCCACGCTGCCCCTACGACTTGACCCGGATTTGTCACCCATCCCCAGGTTTCCTCCACTCATCTTCCTCTCTGCGGCATCCTTGCTCTTCAGCGTCACAGTGTAGGCAGATTTCTTCCAGTGACCTAAGAACAGCACGACTATACGCTCCTTTCTCAGGCTGGTGGTCTCTAGAACATCTGCAAAATTTTCATCATAGTCAATGCCAGAGTCACTGTTCTGGTCGGTTTCAGGGGCTGGACTTAACACTTTAGGCTGTTTGTCTGACTCTGTGGCCTCAAGCTGTAGGGAAGAAGTTAACATGACGGCCTCTTCCGGCTCATCCGACAAAGATGAGTTCTGCGTCTCAAAATTAGATTTCAGAGTCCTTACAGACACCCCAAACTGATGGATTTCATCCTCTATCTTCTCCCGGCGTCCCCTGGTGGAGTTCTGTCTGTCTGGCGTCTGAGAGAACACAGTGATCAGTTCTGTATTAGGCATCTTGCAGTAGGGCTGATCTGTCAGGTTGGTCATGAGCAGAGACATGCTCTTTACGATGCCCGAGATGCGGCCACACCATACAGGCAGAGGAACTTGACTCGAGAAGTTTCTGAATTGTGTGTTGACGGTAATGTTCACTATGGGAGCTGGCAGGATGTGCCTGAGCTCCTCAGCTAGACGAGCGAGCTCCAGCTCATAGCCTTCACAGTTCCTCTGCATGGAGACGTTGGCAATCTGCTGCTCCAGATAGATGAGGTCATCCTCAGCCAGCAGCTCACCAGAGGGGCCCAGGATGGCGTTGTGGGCTTGGGAGTACCTCCAGGTGACTTTGGCATATCTGTTCCCATTTTCCTGCAAGAGAAGAGGCAGATAAACATGCGGGATGTCGTATTGAAAATTTTTCTAACATTTCAAATGGCTTAGGCGTGAGAGGAAAAGGGTAATGGTATAGTAAAACTGCGATCCAAACCTCAAAAATATGACTAGCAATGTGTTATGTCTTTAGTGATTTGTTACAAGCAATTAAAAGCAAATGATGTGTTTTCAGTAATGCACATTTAAAATAGCGTCGCAAAATCAAACAACAATTTTTGCTTTGTTCATTGTGGTCTGGTTAGGCTCAATGTGCGTTAGTTTAGAAGGGGATTATAAGGGAACATATAACTTTCTAGGGCTGCATCAGTGATCAAAACAGTTGCCAATTAATTTTCTATCAATCGACTTGTCTCTTAATTGACTGATCGTTTAGCGGACATTAAACCAGAAAAATACATCTGCTGCTCTGGAGAAATTACCCAAAAAGTATTCACTTAAAACGGCTCCTGAATAAAACTGAGGTGAAACACGGGCCGTTGCTGTTGCAGAGAAAAAAAAGGTTACATCAGTTATGAGAGTGTCACTTTCAATCCTTTATTTGATGTCTACCTGCAAGCCAGGAACTTAATCTTTCAGTTCTTTATTTTCCATCATAAACACTCTCCATGCTTTAATCAAACATGTATCTCTTGGACTCAGGTTAGATGTTTTCCAGACTGAAATAATGGAGCTAAAACTGTGATCTGTCGTCAGGCTAGATTAAAAGTACTATTTGCTGTAATTCACAGATCCAAGATCCAACAGAACAACAACATCTTTAATCTTTCAAGAGACATTACCTTCCTCCTCTGATCCTCCTCATCCAGCAGCCGGGCCTGCAGCTGTCTCACCATGACTTGCCTCTTCCACTCAGCAATGGGACGGCCTCTCTCATCATGAGTGGGCACCAGGTAGTCGATGTCTGACAAGTTGGCCTCCTCAGTGGGCAGGACCACCATCTTGTTCTGCACAGACACAGCATTTTAGCTGAAGAAAGAAATCACTTACAGAAGCAAGGCTGTACAAAACAAGAAGGCTTACTGCCTGTCCAGTGAAAACTCCTGATAGCCCTGATTGTTTCAAGGATTTAATGGATTTCATGTCGCCGAGAAGCTTTCTTTCGCCCAGGAGATTTGGCTCAGGCAACATCGTCTTATTAGAAGCGACAGTTATCTCACTCCCAGTGGGTTTGGGCTGATTGAAACCTTTGATAACTGAAACACAAATCATAAAAAAAATTTTGTTACTAAGCAGTGACTTTCGGTAGAAGAGTGATTCAGTAGATAAAAAGATATGTTTTTCTCACCAGATGTCGCGATTTGAACCTGCTCTATTCTGTTAGAAGCCGTTTTCTCCGGCTGGCCGGGTGCGGACGAAGCAGAAGGTAAGGGAGGCGTAGAGGGTGGCTGAGGGTATCTCGCCTGCGGGGACTCCTCACTCTCAGGTTGCTAATTTGGACAAAAAAAACAGAGACAAGCTCAGTTGCTTTGGGTTACAGCAGGAGATTGCGAAGAATGGAGAACACGGTGATAAACTAAACTCAGTGTTTTACCTTTAAACTATCCATGGGTGTGTTACTGCTGTAACTGTCCCTGCATGTCTCACTCAGGCAGCCGTAGTAGTCCTCCCTGCTGCGCTGAAACAACACAGCCGGCTTCACCTTCACTTCCTCCCCCACTGGCGCAATCACCTCGATGGGCTTATCTGCACAGGCTGTCTGCAAATATCACAGTCCAGATAATGACATTTAAGACTTATGAAGACCAAATATTATGATATGTACAACTTCAGATAAAATCGTGAGGTAAGGGTTGCTACAAAAATGCTCAAAATGTATAAGACAACAAAATTACTGGAACAAAGTTGGACAGCTCTTTATAAATGTTCCCAGCTATCATTCAAACACCACATCACAAATGCTTTTCCTTTTTTAGCAAATACCAGTTAACAAACCTAGTTCGTCTCTTTGAATGTGACTTCATACTCATTATGGAGCCAAACGTTTTGTATCTCTGCATGCTTTCACAGCATATAAAACAGATTTATTTTTATTAAAAATGAATGTAAACAAGGTTTTTTATAGTTGTGCAAGTGATATTTATTTGGTTCTACCAAAAAGTAAGAACACACAGTGTATGGTAGAAATCAAGCAGTTTGTGGGCAATAGAAAGGTAGATGTGGGAAGTGTAATCAATCACTATATGAATATATATGTATTTGTCTGGATTGTTTTTATAGGTCATTATGATGTGAAAAGGGAGTTTCCATCTGGCACCCAACAAATAAGTCAAGTATATTACAGTAGGCTAAGCATGGAAGTAATGTTATCTATCAAAAATTTAGATTATGCTATGCTTTTACAATTCTTGAATTGTAAAAAAGGAATTAACAAATAGGGTAAATGGAATTTACTTAAAATGTCTAGATTTAAATGAACATTTTAAAGCCTGAAGACATGCATTGTGAAAGACAAACTCACGGGATAGTAAGCAACCTTGAATAATTGGCAGCATTTCACACCACTCTAGGGAGGATGTAGGATGTATGGAAACATTTAGATCCCCTTTAATGAACCTGCGTTGTCCTAATGCACTCCATGCAGAATGCATATCAAATTCAGCTCTCCAAGGACATTATTAGTAACCAAAACATCAAAGGCAGCCCTAATATGCTGTTGCATGCTGTTGTGCTTTGTGTCCATGAGGTGGTCCTTACCATTTCCTTCTCACACGGCACTTTGATGTCGAACAGCACGAAATATGCTATGACACTGCTCAGGCGGAGGAATAAACTTCCCAGAAGTTGTGCAATCCATAAATAGATAAACAAGGGGCTGGGAAAAGGGGAGGGGGAGCCCCATTCCTTTGTGACCCTTCTCGTAACAGTTCAATGTCCTAAAAGCTATGATGAACCGGCCCTTGTGTGTGTGTGTGTTTAATTAGACCCAGTGGCCAGAGAGCATTTGGTTTTCATCAGCACCCCATCACAATTGCCACGCAGATATAGATAGACTAGCCCTGTTCTGGCCTGGATCCACTCTCCCTCTATCAAAGACCACAAAGAGCCCGATCACTACCGATTAGGAGCCAAGAGTTAAGAAACAGCTACTCAGCGCTGTTTCATTGTCGAACATGCAGCACCAGTAATCCGTGGTCCCTGTGGGTCGAGCCATGAGAGAGTTGAAGTATTTCAGAACAGCATGTGTATTTAAAAAACATGTCTTGTAATTCTGGGCCCTGAAATCAATCATTAAAACAACCTGCTTCCATGTGAAACGTTCACGTTCTTGGTGATAAATTGCAACATGGAATGTATACAGCGGGTGTACATTATACACAGAACACTATAGTGTAAATACATGTCCACTCACATGTTAAAATACTCTCAGGTTTCCTCCATGGAGGTAAATGCTCGAGAGGCTAACAAGTGACTGACACAATGTTTTTTGCCAACATTTACAGCCTTTTTGCATCCACTGTAGCTGACCATGACAAGTAACAATATTTATCTACTTTACACTGGAACATTTTAACAACTACTGGATCAGAAAACTATATCTAGAAACTGTGCTAGATTTAAAAAAAGGAAGAAAAATCATCTCCAATTTGCAAAAATCAACAATGACAACATATATTAAGGTCATGAGCCGGCAGTATTAGTCATGCCTAACCGTAAGAGGCCACAACTGATCAGAAAACAGGTAAAACACTGCCAAAACAACTGCCAGCTAGGGCCTCTTTCACAGAGCAAACAAAAGTTTCCTTTCATTTTACAAAACTAATTACTCAGCCTGTCCAGTCACTCACTTATGAAGAAATGCTCAACAAAAAAAAGAATGCACTAAAAGCACAAAAAGGAGCAAAGACAAGCAAAAGCAGCATACATAGTACAACTAATAGTGAAAATGTTTAATAAACCAACCTAAAACTTACTAACCTTGACCTTGAGAAATTCTCCCAGTGCACACCGGTGCGACTTCACTGTACAGTGAAACTCCAGAGGCACCGACTCGTGCAGCCAGGTATACGGGGCAGCCGCTCCGTGTTGAGGATGTGACACTATCGTAAGATCACCAACCACTCGTTTGACACCATCATCAGCATCTCTGCCAGTGGCCAAGGGCCGGCAGGCAATAAACAATAAACTCTGATCGGAGAATGCTGTTAATAATTAAGGGAAAGGATAGGATGGCCGGTAATGTCACTAATGCATGGACAAACCAATAGGCATGTTGTTGCACGAAGGGAGGTATCAGCGGAAGACTTGTCAAAGCAGGTGAAAAAGAGACATTTTATCCATGCGCTTTTTCCACTTGGGACAATAGAATGGAGGAGCTAGTGCATTAAGCTTTTTTTTATTGTGAGGGTGGAAGAAATGTGACAGTGGAAACACAATGCGACACCATAAGCTTAAATAGATGGCTTTGACTGTTAATGTGGAAAAGCTGACAACAACAAACAAGAGTTCTGTGACAAACCATCCACTAATTAACCAATTCATTTTCTAATGAATATTACCTCTGCCTACTCAATATACATGCATTCTAGCATTCTTGCTGCAAAGACATTCTGAAAAATTATATATTAATCTAATTATTTTTTACCATTACCGATTAATCTGTTGATTATTCTCTTGATTCGTTGTTAATTGAACCTTTTTGTTTAAATAGTGAACAATCTCCCAAAGCCCAAGTTAAAGACAGGAAAAGGAAAATCAGCTAATATTCAAACCTGAGACAATATAAACTGTGAATTTTAACTTAAAATTACTTAAAGAAAAATGATGATGATCAAATGATCAAAATACTTGCGATTTTCTGTAGATCACTAATAGATTAATGGAACAACTGTTGCAGCTCAACAGCTATCGATGAATATTAAAATGTTGGGATTACATACTTTTAAAGTTTAATTTGTAAAGAGTATTACTACATGTAATATACATATAGTATTAGTATATATATATTATTAATTTATGGGAGATTTAACACATCAAATGATCTGACGTGAAGGAAGATGGAGGGCTTCATAAGAATCATATCTTTGTTATAATTATTATTATTGCACCATTATGAAGAACACAATAAGCTCATTAGATGCTCTCTGGTGATAATTTTCATTATATCTTTTAATAGGCTGAGAAGTAAAAAGCTATGAAAGCAGTGGTTACCAACCTAGGGGTCGGGGCCCCACTAGGGGTCGCCAAAGCTTTACAGAGGGTCGCATGGCCTTCTTGCTTTTAAGGGGTGTATGCAAACTTTAAAAAGACACACAGTTAGCCTATATCTTGCAGCATAAGGGCACGGTGAAGACCTGAACACAAACTACTAACACAGAGCCTTCAGTCTCTACTCAACAGCCTTATAAAAGTACGTAACCAAAGAGCTAAGAAAGCAATGAGATGAAAACACTGAATTTGTCAAAAGAGAATTGTAAAAAAGGTTATAAAGTTATCAGAAAAACTAATCTGTAATGTAATATTCACAGGAAATAATCTGATAAAAATTTATCTAAATCACTCTTTACACAAACTTCCTGCACTTATTGCACTATTGTAGTTCACGATTTTGGTTAATGGTAGAGTTTATCAGTTGTTGTGTACTGTTATTGTTATGCATTAAATATGATATAGTCAGGGGTCATCAGTTTACTCAATGATAGAAAAGGGCTCCCTTAAGGAAAGAGGTTGGGAACCACTGTATTAAAGCATGTGTTTTGTTTCTTGTTGCAAAAAACAATGCGGATATTTTGACAATGTTCTAAAAAAACACAGTGATGAATTAGGCGACCATGTGTTGCTTCTGTCCAAGTATTCTAAAAATACCATTCTCAAACAACAGTATCTCTGGCCTGATCGCTGTGAATGGAGAGCAAAAGCCACAAATGCGCGTGAAGTAAACTTCACGCCACACGCTGTTTATTTGATTGCAGCTGTTCCTGAGATGCAAGATGAGGAAGAGCGGTTGACAGTGCTGAACGAGTCTGACCTCGTTGTGAGCGTTCCAAACACACGGAGAAGCCAAATACACTGCTCTCCCCGGTCAATGTCCCAACCCATTTAGGTCGCTGCTCGGAAATGAGATTATCCGACCGACACTTAAGAACCGATGAAACCCATGATCTACGCAGCACTTTACAAACCTAAAACACCAGCAGAAATGCAATTAAAGCATGTCTGCTCGTACAACTCGCCTCTGGAACAGCAAGTTTCAAATCATTCATCAGTTTTCCAAATATTATGAGGATTTAAATCAATTAACTGCTACTTCAGGTGACCCCTTTGTTCACATCAAGCCTAGAGTTTGTGTCCAATTCATACGTTGCCAAGAAACATGATACATCATTCTTGTCTGCTACCAACATTACACAGTATCCAGAGGTGACAATCATAGCACTTCCAACTCCCTGGAAAAAAAACATGACACACAATCAAACGTGTGTTTGAAGCCAATGACATCCTGCTCTCCAAGTCCACAGAGGGATAGAGTTGCCGGTTCCAGGCATCAGAATGGTGAAAACGCTGAAACTTAAGCTTGTGGATCTCATAACGGGCTCAGCCCCTGGGCCCTCCACCTGAGCCGCTGGAGAGGGGTAACTGATAGGCCCTTAGTTGGCACCGGCTCCGGCTGCGTTCGACGTCGCAGCGGCCCCTGCGCTAATTAGCTCTCCATTGTTGATGGGAGGATTATTTCTGAAGGGGGAGCTCAGCAGCAACGCCTCGCTGCCTCCCTATCATCATCCTCTTCATGTACGAGTGCTGCTCTTCTCTGCTGACTTATTCATGGCTTCAATTGGCCGACAGCTTTTCGTTACTCTGTGTACATCGCTGCGCAGTCTGCGCTATAGACAGCGAGTGAAGTGTGATGGGAGTAAACAAACAACAGGCTGCAGGTGGACAGCTGTGAGGCTTTAAGGTCCAACAAGTCTGCTGACAGAGGGGTCCCCATAGGCTCTTTCAGTTAACAGTTTTCTCCGTTTCCTATTTAAAATCAACTCCACAAGATCAAATTCCAGTATCAGTATCAACTGTAATCCTCTAAACCTAATTATTATGTAGTTTTTTCAAAGAAAAACAAATAAAGTGAGATTAATGAGGCTGCAACCAGCAAACTAACTATTAAAGTTAAATGCAGGCCAGTTTTTACTGCATTGACCCCTGACTTGAACAGGCAACACTAGCACAAACAAGGTGTTAACACTAAAATATTCATCAATCACATTAAGGAGTGTCGTGCTTTCTGCACAAAACAAAAGGGCTAATCCCAGAGAGTCCTCTGTGGCAACTGAGAATGGAGAATCTCCTCCCGCACTCACGGCATCATCGCATGTAATGCCTTATTAAACACAAAAGCCATCATCGTCCACTTTCTTAGACCTCTTAAACTAAGAGGAAAGCAATCAGGCTGAGTGGAGGAGAGCAGCGCTGGAAGGAGGACAGGCTTGACCTGCATGAAATACATGTCGCAAATTGAGAAAATGCGTCACCGAGGTTCCAAGATCTTCCAGATGTTTGCTGTTGACCATACTCCCCAAAACTAGCTTTGATTTTCATGCCAAAGTAAACAGCTGGACAGCACTGACACAAAGAGAGGACACAAATCAGGAAAATGTGTCAACTAAAATATACTGTAGGTGAGAGAGCTTACATTTTTCTCCATGGCACAGAGGTATCTGGCACATTCATGGTGTCCGTTGTATTCTGCCAAGTCTGCAGCTGTGAACCCGTCAATATCTTGGTCTGCAGGGTTTGCTTGATTGGCCAAGAGGATTTTACAGCACTGTGAGAAGGAATAGGAAAATGAAGTAGACCAAGAAACAGCAATGTGTATAAAATACTGCTTTATGAATACAGTTTAGTTTATTTACAAGATAAGAGAAAAAACTATGAGAACAACAAAAGAAAAAAGTTGCGTCCAACCTCCAGCTCTCCATTTTCTGCAGCATCATGTAGTGGGGTCCCTCCCCAGTAATCCTTGATGACCTTTGAACCCATGTGAAGAAGCCTCTCCAAGATGCAATAGTGCCCTCTGCTGGCAGCAAAGTGCAGAGCAGTCGCTCCATCTCTGTCCTGCCAGGAAAGGCTGACATCAGTACAGGTCACCTATTAGGGATTCATAAAAAAAAAATAAAAAAAAGGTTTAAAGTGGTGACTGAAAAAAAACACAAATACATCTGGGAAACACTCGCTGTGTGTGTAGCGCTTCTCTACTGACCAGCCACACCACCACAGCTTGGTGGCCCATGTGAGCAGCAGCATGCAGGCAGGTCATGCCATCGTGGGCCCTCAGGTGGACGTCAGCCCCGCAGACATTCACGAGGTACTCCACAACGTGCAGGTGGCCTTCCTGGCAGGCCAGATAGAGCGGAGTAGCACCGATGACAGTCTGGCGGTTCACACTCCTGTAGTCCAACATACAACAGGGGTGAACAAGGTTAAATTACTAGTGTCAGCCATTAAATGATTAAAAACACATTGTCCGTATTAGGACCACACTCAAAATTCTGCCTGATACAACACACCAATTTTATATGTGGATGATTCACAATGTTAAAAACATATTAGATATATTTTTATTTTAGCCATAATAGGCATCTGTTTAGCTGAGACAATTACAGTCAGGCTGTAAAGTGTGACATTCAGAATCTTACAAAGAAGCCTTAAAGCATACACAAGATGTAGATAAAATGGTTTTTGTTTTTTTAAATGAACAGTGTGTGCTAACTTTGAGCCTTTAGTGATTACAGAGGTTTGAAACAGTGTGTTGTTCAGAAATAAATTAGGACAGGTACAAATAAAGGTGTGTTTTTTTTAAATAATGCACAAAATAACTGACTACTGAATATCAGAAAAACGACACTGTTGTTAAAATAAAATCAGCAAAACAAAATGCTCCTAAACATTTTAATGTGTGAAAAAACTTGAAGTGATATTGTCCCTACGTATTATTACTAGTAGAAATAGTAGACAAGAGATACTGATCTGTGGTTTTTGTCTCTGGGAATAAAAATATCACATGATCTATTTTTGCACCTGAAGTGATGGACAAACTTAAAGCTAAAATTCATACTGTAAGTATGAATAATACACAGTGATTCTATGTTGTAAAAGGTGTTGATTCTCTTGTGCTTACTACGTTTGAACTAACTTCTTTGATATTGATATTTAAGAAATGACAGGTGCAATGCAACAAACCCAGATAAGTCCGTAAGTCAACATTTGGTATATTGAGAGCATCTCCAGATATTGGAAATGTGGTGAATATAGTAATTATATCAAAAACATACAGACATATAGGGTATAAACTTAGGATCAAAACCTTGTTGTCCATCAATCATGTTAGACTCTGCAGGGCTGCCTTTACATTACCATACATTCTGTAGTGCTTCCACTACCACAAGGCTGACATATGACCGACTGTCTAGGCATGTATTATTCATGTTACTGATGGTCACATGTGATTGTGTGACCCTGCCATGTGTCATGCAAATAAGTCAAAACTCTCCTGTAACGAGGAGCTGAAGCAGGAAGAGCAACATATCTTTATCTGGTCCTTACTAAGTGCCACTGTCTCAGGTTGAGGAGATGGCAGAGATATGGGGGGGATTCACATTTCTCGTGTCCAGCTGCCCCTATGCACAAGTTCCATAAATGCCATCAATCATTTTGTTTGGTTATGAGCCACATCAAAAAGGGAATGATCATATTGAATATTCAGTCATCATCTGCAAATGAGATTTTACATACACATTTACGAAATACACATAATAACTTATTGGAGATCTACTGGACAGCGGTCTGATAGCAACAAAAGGAACATACATATATATGCACCCAAAGCTGTAACTATCATATTACAGTCATGTGTGTCAAATAGCAACACACTTATTATAATGGTTAATAAGAGAGCCCACAGTACGTTTCGCAGTAAGATTCCAAGGTGCCTGGTACAATATGTGTTTCTTGTTAACGCAAGTCACTGTCAACAAAAGGGGGTGCTCTTTATTCCTTTGGTTATCTAAGGTATGTGGCACAGTTTGTTTTATTGAATTTATTGAAGTTCAGTAGCAGTTTCTCTGACCCTGTTTCCTAATATTAACAGGTTTTTGTTAAACCATTAACTTCCATCCAATGTTTCAGTTATGTTAACTCATTGTGAGGTTGAATATTTTTCCCTAAGTTTATGAATCTGTAAAGAGACACCCTTACAGTGGTAATGTTTTTAGTTATTGCTATCCTTGTGGCGTAGTGCAGATCAACTTCTTAATCAGTGATTATGAAAATAGCTGTGCATGATAGGTCCTCTAACCCAGTGATTCCCAACCAGGGGCACTTCTGCAGTTAACAGGGGGAACATGGAAAGATTGTTAGGTAGCTCAACTAATATGACAAAAATGAAAATATTAATGTGATTTAAAAGAATATACGCATATATTTGTGCTTAGGAGGAAAATAAACAGCCTAGGATAATGCTGATCTTCAGTATATTCACAATAATAGGTAAGTTACCGCTTATGATAGGCTGACTGAACAATACATAAACTCCATCCCAACCCACCAGTCAGCATTAACACCACGAGTTGTGACCGATATATGATGAGTATGAAAACTAGTGAGCAAGCAGAGAATCTGAAATAGTTAGCTAAAAGTAATGACTAAACAGTTAAAACTGCCAAACGCACAGTAATAGCTAAACAGCTGAGATACTTAACTATAAGTAATGGATAAATAATTGAAATAGTCTAGAGTAATGTGTAAACTGTCGCAATAGTTATAACATTTGAAATAGCTGTAGTTAGCCAAAAGTAATAAATATATGGTGGACATAGTTTGCTAAAAGTAATAGATAAACCTTAGAAAAATGTTAGTTAGAGATAACATTTGAAATAGCTATAGTTGAAATAGTCAGCTAAACATAACGGATATATGTTTACATGTGGCAGTAGTAAGAATGCAAATCACGCAAATGTTGGGAACCAGAGACTGGCTACATTGAAGTGGTGGGAGGTTAAAGTTTTAACCTTGCTCAGTAGCAAATAACTTTCTATTAAAGTCGGTTACAGAGGAATCTGTAATACTTTTTTAAAAAGATTTTAAAAAATATTCTGTGAAAGCTTTATATCAATTTAACTCATCTATGGTAACCAGGTGCTAGTTCAGTTCTAGGTTGAAAAGAACTTCAACAATATCAGCCAATGTGGACCAAAAAGAAAGTTCTTGACATTCAGGTGGAACTATTCTGAAGAAAACACTCTATAAAATCTATGCTTATAGACTTTTAGAGTCGAAAGCCATGCCAGCAGGTCTGTGAGGCTCTACTAGAGCTGAATGCTCACATCAGCATGCTAACGTGCTTACAATGATAATGCCAGCATGTTGATGTTTAGCTAGTAGTAATTTACCATGTTCACCGTGTTGGTTTAGCGTGTTGGCATGCAAACATTTGCTAACAAGCACTAAACACAAAGTACAGCTGAGGCTGAGATGATGGCGCAACATGAAAAGTCAGATTACCAAAGTTATTACAGTTCATCCTGAGGGGGCAATGGAAAAGGAGAGGATCACCGAAGTTGTTATCCTCTAGGGACACTGAGTATCTGTTGTAAATGTCCATCTGTTAAAATTGTCAAGATATTACACTCTAAACCACAATTGTCATCCTGATGTTGGTGAAAAAGGAAAAGCCCGGGGTTCACCAAAGTCCGTATGATTCATCATCTGGGGACCATGAATGTGCACAATGTCATAGCAATCCATCAAACAGATATCAAGATAGTTCAGTCCGGTGGACCGACCAACACTGCCATCCCTAGAAGCTTTGCATCTAGCATCGCTGCAAACGAGTGAAAGTAAGGGCCGTGAACTCACCCAGGTGCCTGCTGAACCAGAAGTTTTAAACAGGTGAGGTCCCCATTGGCTGCGGCGTAGTGAGCAGGTACAGCCCCACAGTTTGTCTCCACCTCGGCCCCTCCCCCAACAGAAAGCAGCCACCTAATGACCTCCACACAACCGAACCGGGCTGCGAGGTGGAGCCCGGTGGCACCAGCAGCATCCTTATCCTGGAAACATTCAAGATTGAATTTAGATGCAGCTTGATGAAGACTAACTGAACTCCTCTTCTGTATAGGCTTACTGTTGGTAAACATTACAAAGACCAAGGTGCAAGATCTTAAACAGGTGCATTTCTTCTCCAAAGCTACAGTAGGGATACTGGTGAGGACCTTTAGTTAAAACGTTTGGTGGTCTCCTTTAGGAATTATCAAGAAACAATAAGATGAAACATTACATGTTCTTTCATTTTAGGCAAGGTTCAGCAAATTTGCCCAAATGAGCCTGCATCATTTTAAGAAACCAGACACATAGGTAGACTTGACTCTCCACTAATGATAGGTTCAGCAGGAGCTCCCTTTAGGCATCTGGACATAATTACACTTGCTACATAACACTAATGGATACCCAGTAAGTCAGCACCATATGATGTAATGAGCTGGTAACACATGTGAAAAGGTAGTGTACAGCACCTTTTACTACTGCAGTGATGTAACCTCACCCCCGGATCAGTTAGATGACCATCTAAAGCCACTGCTTCAATTTGGACGCACACACGACCCAGTCACAAGAAATTACCAGGAAAGCAGGACGTGGCATTTCTCCAAGGATCTGAGGGTAGATTTCTCTCTCTCTCTCTGAAGAGATTGTTCTCAGTGGATAAACTTACCTTAGTGTTGCAGCCTCCTTGGTCTACCAGCCATTGCAGTTCCCGGATGTGGCCAGTGGCTGCTGCATCATGTGCCGGTGTGGCCCTGTTCAAGGCCCGGGCATCAGCCGCCAGCCCCAGCTCGCCCACCAGGAACTGCAGGCACTCCAGGCGTCCACACCTTGCTGCGTGGTGCACTGGGCCAGCACCTTGTGCATCAGTGATGGCAGGTGCGAGGTGACCAGAGGATGCCAGCTCCCTCAGGGTGGCGAGATCCCCTGCTCGAGCCGCCTGGATGGCCCGATGAAGCACCATCCCTGGCTGCTATGAGTAGGTTATGGCACGCAGAACAAGCTCCCTGGAGCGCTTTGGATCCCAGCAAGTTACCATCTCTTTCTCCCTCATGCTCAACTCTCATACAATAACAAAAAACTCATGCACTCATTGCCTTCACCCGAGCCAGGAAAGTGACACCCGAGCGGCAGCCAGCTGGCCAGCATGGTTGTTGGGGAAGAGAGGAGGGGGTCAGAGCCAGTGAGATAGAAAGGTAATGAAAGACGGGTGGAGGCGCACCACTCACGGCCTCCTGCTCTCCTTTGTGCAGCAGTGACCATATGCTGGCACACGCACCAACGCTTCACTGGAGATGGGGGAGCTGAGGCAGCACGGAAACTTAAGTAATGGGAGAAGTCAGGGCCAAGGCATGGTGGATTACAATGAGTGTTATTTTTTACAACTATTTTAAAAATTCATCTCAGTGGATATGACTAAACACCTATTAAATCTGCAAGATTATAATCTCCATAGAACATTTTATAGTGAGAAACATTGTATTTATTCAACAACACTCATACATATTGCCCTCCAATTAGCAGAGTGGCTACTCACATGACGTGATGGAAGCTGAATACAGTCATCTCTCCATAACATCACCCCCCCAGGTCACTTCAAGTTCTTCCCTTTTATTATTTATATTACATATTTCATCCATTTTACATGATCAGTTAATGTAACAATGAACACATGATGGTGAGTTATTTTTAATTCTGCACATCCTTAGTTGACCTCCAGGATAACTGCTTATGCCATCAGTCCATTCCTTCCAGCAGTCGCACCGTATCCCTCAGGTCCTCCACGACTGCATCCACATCTGCTTTGGTCGTCCCCCTGCCCACGCTCAACCTCAAGGCATTAGCTGCCACCTCCGAGGGGACGCCGCAGCTCAGAAGGATATGGGAGGGCCTGATGGACAGACACAGTGCAGCGCAGGCCAGTTATGTAACTGCGATCAATATGGTGTCCTGACAAAAGCATAACCATAGCCCTCTTTTACCTGTTTCCACTGTCTGAGTGGCAGGCGGCACCAACGCTGGCCAGCAGCCTCGTACAGTTGGACAATACCCTCCAGCCTAAAGCAGGAGAGAGAGAGAGATTAATCATTCAGAGCCTTTGTAGTTTACAAATAGCCCTGAGCAGGTCATGAACTGTCTCCGATAAACATTGGTGTAGGGTTAGAGGACACTGTGTTGGAGTGGCAGGCCTAAACAGACATAGGACAGAGACGGAGGAGTCATGACATCACCTTGTAATGTTGGTCCCAGGATGGACACGTTACATGTGTTAGGGAGGATATCAGAGCCTGGGTAATGGTTGTTGAAGTGAATCTTGTCTATAAAGACGGCCTGAAAAGGAAAACATACTAATGATACACCTTTATAATGTGTAAAAGGTAAGCAACAGAATAATGCTGATGTAGGTTGTCATGTGAACAACAAACATATTTCAAATAACCCAAATCACATTATGAACTGATTTACAACTACAGTCTCACAGTCACCAAGAGAACGTGACATTACAAACGTACCTTTAGTCGTTCTTCTAAGTAAAGTTTGGTACTTCGCATATGACTCTCATATTCTGACAGATTAGAGGTCACCAGTTCTGCAGCCTAAGAGACACATAACATCAGTAGATATAAATGATGCTTAAAATGACATCTTTGATAGCATTAGTATTTGATCTGTTTTAGTTAGACTAATAAGTGCTAATTCATTCTGCATGAGGTTATAATAACTATAAAAGTGTTCTAACAGAATTCCAAAAAGTAACATTCTTGACAAACAAAATGCAGTAATGTGAAGTGGGATGTGTGTGGGATCAGTCTAAAACATGATACAACACTATCATATGTTGCCCACCATTACATTACCAACACATAAGTAGTATGTAGTATGGGTGTATCTGATGATACACAATATAATAACACTATTTTTTTTTTTTTTTAACCTTTATTTAACCAGGAAAAGTCCCATATATAACAGCTGGGTCAATTTAAATGTAGAAATTGATTAGATATTGTTTTTATTCAGTATATTACCAAACACTTCTCAATTCAACAACACAACAAGCCACAGTCTTAGCATTCTTAGGTTTTATACATGTATTACTGCAAGGCTACTGTACTGGATTGCATAATGATGTAGTATAATTTAGTTGATCCCCTGTAGCTCTACAATACAGTAATGTATGTATGTATAGAGTCACGTTTGGTGGGGAAATGTGAAAGGCAGGAATGGGTGAAATACAATTCTAGTACTCTCTGATAAGACACCCTTTATATAGGATTTATAAGCTGTAACTACTGGCCTTATTGTTTTGGCCTTATATAAATCATTATTACCATTAAGACGGAAATTTTGGGTTTCTAGGTTGTGAAAAATCCCTATGACTGATTGGATGACCACCTGCCTTCCAGAGAAGTATATTAAATTAATTTAATTAGGCAATTATTAATAGATTGACAATATTTATAACTGCATTATTACCAAACAAAAATGTTAAACACCAGTGCAAGCCCAAATGTGTTCATAGTAATGGCATATAATTAGTATATGCTAAGTATAAAAAGATGATTCATTAAAGCCATTAGTTTCTACCTTATTTAGGGTTCCTTATTAGCAAGTGGTACCATTCTACGTAGAGACCAGAAGTCATTATAGAGGTTTATTCACAATGCAACAAATCACAAACAGGTATAACTGCTATGGGATTTTCAACACGTGTGCAAAAATATTCATTGATTAAATCAAGAAGATAAAACCTCTTTATAACCTCTTATTCTATGTAAGCTTCTAGAGAAATGTTCTAAAACCTTCAAAAATATTGCTGTAAGACATATATGGAGCAGGAAACATACCTTTCCCAGACCTGCAATCATTGGTGTGTTTTCTGTGCTGTAATGTTCAGAAAGAGAGAAAACCCTTGTAGACCCTTACATTTAGATGTACAGCTCTCTGATCTTGGCCGTTGTTTCATGCACTATTTGTACTTTATTGATTATTCCTTAAATGAGTCGATGTGTTACCCTGGTCTGAAGTTTCTCTCCTGTCCTCCTCCGAACAGCATTGGAAACAATGGTGTTCTCGTTCCGGGGCCGTTCACATACAAAGCACCAATCCGAGGGGCGTAGAACTACAAATGCGACAAAACCTGTCAATGAAATGTTCTCCAATTTTCTATCTGATGCCAAATGAAGATATTTTACACAACAGATTCCTGACCTTGTGTCCCACTATGGTGAGGTAATCCACTCCCAGGTCACAGGCATCGACTCGGATTTTGCCCAGAGCCTGAGCAGCATCAGTGTGGACCAGGACCCTGAGCTGCTCACGCTGCTTGTTGAGAGATCTTACTCTCCGGCAGATCTCTTGGACTGGCTGACGAGATGAAGATGTTTCATCAGCTACTTAATCATTCAAAAAATTATCTTTTTTTTTATGATAATGAAAATATTCTCTATTATCAGTACTACAAAGAGATGCACTTATTGGTAAAAATTCTGTAAAAGAAGCCGTCAGGTTTCGGAGCCTCTATCTCTTTCTTACCATGATGACTCCCGTCTCGTTGTTGGCCAGCATGACAGAGATGAGACAAGTGTTGGGACGCACCTCAGCAATGACGTCCTCCACCTCCACACGGGCTGTCACCTTGGAGACAGGCACAAAGGTCACATCTGAAACACAATTACCCAAACAATCCATCAGAGGCAGTAAGGTTAGTTGTTTAAATAATAATCCACGTTATTCTCCTGGTATTAATCTGAATAAAACTTTACAGGATGGGCTCCTACCAGCCTTGCCGTCTCTCCGCAGGTGCTCAGCTACCAGTTTGACCGAGTCATGTTCCACATTGGAGGCGATAATGTGAGGGAGGCCATTGCTTCCATTCTGGTGCCCTTCACCTTGCTGTGCAGCAGTGCAGCTTCTCCTGAAGTGCTCTACAGCAGTGTGCAGCACCAGGTTATTGGCCTAAAAGAAGATGTATGTGCTATGAATGATGTAGCTTAATAAAACCAGATCAAAAAGTGAGCCTACATTAACGATTACCTCTGTTCCACCTGATGTGAAAATGATGTCTTCAGCTTTACCTCCAACCATTCTCGCCACATTCTCTCTGGACTGATTAATCATTGCCTTGGCTTTAGCACCTAGAAATAAAAATAATGTGTAGATAAAGTACTTTTTTATTGGTTGCTTGCTGAGATACAACATTATTGGCTGGGTAGTGAGAACGCAAATTAAGGTAAATTAGCATTAGCTCACTGTTTTTAATTTTAAATAAAAAAATATTTATTAATCAATTTTATTGTTTTTATTCTGTGTGTTTTTGCCTATTTGCTTTTATTGTTTTTATCATTAGTTTTTTGTATTTTTGCCTGTGTACTCTGTAAAGCACTTTGGGTATGAAAAATAGTATATAAATACATTTGTCTTGTCTTAAAGGAAATTAATTTTACACTAACAACTTGCATTTTTAATTCCAACATCAATTCAATGTCATTTCGATGCAGTTTTAAGTATTGTTCACCTGCTATGTAATTGCTACTCGGGTTTCCCCAGGCATCCTGGAGGGCTTCAGAGATGGTCTGGATCACTTCTGGTTCCAGCGGGGTAGTGGCATTGTAGTCCATGTAGATCCTATATTACATTGAGTACATTAGAGAGAAATGTTCTGATTTCATGTACTGGGTTAGAAGCATTCAAAATCATCACCTCATTGGTTCAGAGTGAAAGGCTGATACGAGGTGACCCACCCAAATCAAAGCTTCCTACCTGTCTAGATTCATCTCTGAGTAATGATGAAAGGTATGGTCAGTGAAGGTGGGACCCACTATCGCGGTGAAGTCATCAGCTTTTTTGGCCATAATGCTCCTGCGAAGAAAGAACACATTTAGTAGGACGCCTGTGAAGATTTATTACAATCAGGCAGAATTCAGTGGATTTATAAAGAAAATAACTCTCAACCTCTATTTAAACCTCTCCCTAGTTAGTGATGGTTGCATGTATTTGGACAGCACCATGTGAGCTTTGATTACAACGTGTTTTGAGAGCTGATGGACATTTATAGAGGTTTTCTTTCCAGGATAGCAGCTGGAAATGAGTCTTGATGGTTCAAAATCTCTCTGGTGTCAGCTACAGTTACTCAAAATCCGACTACGGTTATCACCACATAGTGTAACGTTATAACTTATAGGTATGTCAGAGGCCACAGAGGTGTAATATACACTTTAAGCATTTAGCGTTAACGTGGTGTCAGCTGACGTTACGTCCACATTGTCAGCAGCAGCAGTGACACGTATGAACCCAGCTGTCTGGTAGCTGCCTGATTCACTGTGATTCATGTTATAACGTAGTTAGTTCAAATCAGTGGGAAACTCACAGCTGGAACATTAAAACAACCTGTCTCGTCCCTGGCAATGTTTTAGCAGACCGAGGTGATATTCAGCCAGCTAACGCTAAATCACATTAGGTAACGTCTGTTGACTTTAGCTAAAGATAGCTAGTGCTGCTAACTTATTTCTGCTAGCAAGATTTTGCCTTTAAGCGCTCAAAATGAGTGAGAAATGCTCTCCTTCGTGTGGCGTGGCAGGCTGAAGTCCCTGGCTTTGTGTCTGACCTTGTGAAGTGATGTGAAGATGTCCTGGAGAGGTTTATTACTGTCTGTGTCAATCATCAGCTAACGTTAGCCAGTGTGTGTGACAGGATGAGGCGCCGCTGCGCTGGTTGCCAGATGTCTCAAAGTGAAACCTGCAGCCTGTCACATGTTACAGGACGCTCAAAACAATACAGCACGAGAGCTGGTTTATATACAATGTGTGGTTTATTAATGAATTCCATTCATATGATGTTAGGATATAAATAAAATCAACGTTCACTCGGTCTCCTTTTACCTGCAACGCTTATCTGTCGTAACAGGCAGGATACACTGTTCACTGACTTAAACTCTTAATTTGAAAGTCCACAAAGTCAGGATGCTTTGTCATGCCGAAGAGCCGAGAAATCATGTAAATTAGAGTCTAGTAGTTGTGGATTTATAAGATTTAAGATGAACAGAAATCTAGTATTATAAAACAGTCCCATGCGGACATGGCAACTCTGGATTCCGCTGCCATGGTAACAGCCAGGGAGCTGCCCGGTGCAGTGCAGGCGCACGTAGTTTGGAGCACGTTCACTAAAATCCCGATAAACAGTCTACTAAATGAAAAGTAACGCTGTGTACCAACTGATTCAAAATACTGGGTCACACCGCAGTTCATGCATTTGTTTGTGGTTGTTAATGATCAATAAATGCTTGGTCACCAGGTACAAAGAGACATGCAGCAGATTACATAAAGAAGAAGAGTCCATCACTTTGTGTTGCATAATTTCCATGTTTATTTAATATATGACAACGTGTTTAGTGTACACAAACATTTGACGCTAAACTCCAACACTCAGAGACACTGACTGAACTACTGCCCATTCATGATTTTGTAAATGGGTGCAACTTTATAATACACTGTTCACAGCAATCATGTTTATATACAATGCAAAATAATTTGAAGAGGAAAAAAAAGAAATGTACCGGTGCAATTTGATAGTGCAAAAAAAAAAAAGATTAGGTGTGGAAGCACAAAAATGTAAATGATATTCCTTCAAAGGGCTGGGGAGGGATTAGAAAAAAGTAGATTTTGTGAAGGCTGTCAGAGCATGATGGTGAAGGTACATATAAGAGTTAGTGTGACAGTAAAATAACTACAGCATTACTCTGTGCAAGATGCAATGCCTAACAGGGCCGTAAGGAACCAACCTTCCCCCACACATCAGTGGACAGATTATTACAGGTATATCCCACAACGTCCATTTGGTTCCCTGATAGTTACCTACCTACAATCAATAAGGAACCAGACTGTGAAACCAGAAGACAAGTCAACACAGCCACTCCTGCAGAATAAGTATTTTCAAATATCAATGTACATTCAGTGTGATTTTTGTGTGTGTGACTGCACCAACAAAACTTTGGTTGGCTCAAATGTGATGCACATTAAAAGAAAACACGAGGAATAATCTCAACACAGAGATCAGACTGGAGCAATCCCGAGCGCACACAGAAAGGAGTGCTAGAGACAGTGTAATGTACAGTACGTCAGGGTATTCCTCAATGCTATAGCTGGATAAAATACAACTGCAGGCTCTGCAGAGAAAGTCTGCCGTAGACTTTGATCATAACATTGATCACTCAACTTGTTACACAACAAAGCAAAGATTGATTAACCACAACTACTAACAGTTGTGCACACATGTAGGGCTGTAAAATGTTTTGATTGGATCACTTCAAAATATGTCCACAACACAGAGAATACTTTACAGTGTCAGGAAATATTCTTATAGTAGAGTATGGTATACAATTACCTCAGCAGCTAAAATAAAAACAAAATACTTAATGCCTGTTATAATATCCCCTGCTAAAACTTACTTTGCCAATATTTTGATAAAAATAACAGTTTAATGCTTTGAGATGTTGTCCTAGTATGAAGTACTGTCATTGGGCATGCTGTCTAGGCTGGCTGACCTGAGGCACGCTCATCATTCAAACTTTACACAACATCTCACAAGCTTTATCTGTCACTAGTATTTGAACAGGCTCAGTTTCAGATTCAGTCACTTTGAATGAAATGCAATAGAAGATGCACAGTTGCAAAGTTCATCCAAGATCAGCTGAAGGGATAAAAAACAGACCTTCAACAACATTGATTTTTTTTCAATTCATAGCATGATTGTTTTACAAATATAGACATATGTGTTCTAACAATCCTGACGATCTTAATGTATAAACATGAAGTATACTCTGTGTTGTGGAAATTCCATACAATATGACAGCTGACTGCCGTATTATGTAACATCAACATGAATGATACCTTTTTTGTCTGAATATGTAAGTGATGATGATGAAAAGCAGGAGAGTGATGTGATATGATCTGCAGACACTTCCAGAACAGTATTATAGCAGCATGAAGGATGTAGTTTGAAAGCAACTGGTGCAGAGGCATACTGTACAGTATGATTGAAAAGAGAGGCACTACATTTAATCAATATACATATCATTCAGAAAACCAGCTTCTTATTCTGTACTGTGAGGAACAGTTTATACTTCTGATCATTTATCAAGGTAGCTTTGTGCAGCTCAGGGTGGACATACCACCTTAATATTCTCTACCTAACAATATATTGACCTTTTCAGATGTATGTTAGTTGGGTCAAAGGTCACGTGTGACTATCCTAATCTTAAAGGGGACAGTATTATTCAAGTAATCTTCAGCATAAAGAAAGTAGCCAATCATTAAGTTATTCAATTGTTTAAATAGCATTAACTACAAGGGGACAAGGTTGTTTTATTCAAACATTTAAGGAACTCATATTAAAAAGTGCGGTGTGCAGAAATTGCACGGTACTACTACTTTAGAAATATAAATGTCTTTGTAAATAAATACATGCAGAAATAAATAATAAAGCTATTAAATATCTAAATATATCACATTTTAAAAGAACTAAAATTCAGGTAGAGAATGAGATTAACGTGAGAGGATTATTGGTGATGATATTTGATTACTTGTGTGAATGTAGATACCCATGGTGCTCCTACAAGTAGCTAAAACGACATAAACTAATCAAAATGCCACAAGAACATGAAGTCTATGATGATATGCCATTCCCTTGCCAGGCTGTGTGCTAAAATTTCAATGAGGTTTTAGGAATAGGAGGCAGATTACTCAATGTCAGGATTCATGGACCACAAAGAAAAGAGAGTTATTCTAAAGAGTTACACTGAAGTGTCATTTTTTTTCTTTTAGCATGTATTTTATAGCTGTACGTTGTATGCAAACCAGTTCAGACACTGTATATATTATGTATAGCCGTAGAGTAGAGTAGAGAAGAATCTGCATGTTTGCCTATTTTTACGGATGCAAATGTAGCAATGTGATCCTCACTGACATGGCAGCTTTAGGTAAAAAGTAAATGTCACTGCATTTTTTAAGGAATAAATGTATAAGGCTTGATGTGTCACTGACAACAACTACAGTACATTACCATACGTATGTAATCTGAGATATGAAACTGTTGCTACTTCCTCCATTTTCTTCATTCGTCCAGCTATGAATAAACTCCAGTACAGTGACAGCTTTATGAAGAGGTTCTTCAGACTACGAGACTCACACCGCAGCAAAGGCCTGACAAGAAATGGGCGCTTTAGGTGCTGAGGACACTAGTGATAAACTGAGAACGTACAGGGGAAAGATGGTTGTTGGTGACTGTGTTGGGGAGGGGGGCGAGGATGGGGCTCAGCACAAGGGGAGGGATAAGGACAAGGATCTATGTACATCTTAGTCTTTGTGTTCATCCTTCTCTCTTGATATTTGCTTAGTCACATCCTCATCTGTCCGGCTCGTCTTCTCGACAGCTTCGACCTAAGAGGCAGAAAGAAATGTTTTTATTAAAATGTTACATCTTCCATTTAAAGGTTTTACTGATTCAACTATTTTTTTACCTGATAGTTCCAGCTAGCAGAGGATTAAACGCATACAGCCAGTCATGCATCTCTTTGTCATTAGTGGCTTGAAGCAATATCCCACGATGTTCTGTACACACGGCAAATGTGTTTGGGGTCTGTTGAAGGAGCCAAAAAAGTTTAGAATACCATATCTGACTTTGGCACCAAGTAGAGATCAGACAGAGGTGATTTTGGAGAGTTTGGTTAATCACCAACCTTCAGCATTGCCTGCTGGTCCTCACTGTACTCCACCTGGGCAGAGGAGAGGTTGAGTATGGCCCGCTCCACAGTGTCTCTCTCTGTGTTGTAGATGTAGACGTACGGCCGCCGCACAACAACATAACGCTTCACCCATCCGTTGGTGTGTGGCTCCAAGAAATGTATGTAACCCTTCTTTGACACAATAGGGCTGCAAAAACAGAGGCAAAGTATCAACACCTGTGAAACCAAGAAAGATGTCCCCACAGCACATAGGGATAGATGTTTTGGAGTTGCTGTGGCAGACTCACCTGACTCTAATCTCTTGGATATCAGGGACAAATTTGCGGGGCCGGGGTTTGGTGTCAGAGGCTCCATTGATGGACTTTTTGGCCTCTGCGTCCTGCGGTGTGTCAGGACCGGGGCTGACGGCACGAGAGCGAGGCGTAGGGGGTCTGCAGTAAAGAAACAAAAGGTCTATGATCCCTGGTAACAAAGCACCTCCCTACACCTTATGTGACCAAAATACTTTAAAAATGTTATTCAATAAAAAAAGCTAATCCAGACTGCTACACCCAACAAAGGCTACCCAGGGTTAGGATGACAATTAATACAAAACAATAACCATATAAGTACTTTGTAGGACTGACCTGAGTTCAGCGTTAACATAGCAACCCTCAACCAGAGAAGGGCATGTTGTGGAGGGTGTGATTGTATTGAGAGCAGAGACTGAAGGGGAGTCTCTTAGCGTTGTGACAGACATCTCTGAGATCTGTGACACACACAAACACACAGATACACGCTAGCTCAGCAGACATTAATCAGATTTCCTTTCATGTGTAGTTTTAAATTTGAGTGTTTGAGCATTACCTTGCTTTCGCTGGCACTGACACACACATGGCTGTATTCTCGGTTGAAGGAGTGAGTGAGCAGCCGCAAGCACTGTGTATAAAAAGGACAGAAAACTTAAAATGTCATAGATACAAGATAAGTAAAATCAGATCTGTAATATCATCAAAATGTAAGCACTCTGACTATATATTGACTTGTCATAAATGCATATACATTATGCTACATACTTGCATGACAGAGATCATAGAACAGGGCAACAAAACAGAGTCAAGACTGCACTTAAAGAATCTATATTTATTATGTTAAACTTAACCTTGGCTGCTCTCTCTTGTGACGTCACATCCAATTTGTCTTTTTCGAGGTGGACATATAACTTAACACAGCGACTCCAGATGTTACTGTAGTGTTTATATGATGTATTTTTTCTCTATCTAGTTTCTACATCATTTTGTTGTGATGGCATGCTGTGATTGGTCTGTAAGTCAAAGCTGAAATTCAGTATTCACTAAATAATGATGACTGACCTTGGCAGCGAGTTCCCTCTGCCTATCAGTGGTGATTTCAGAGCAGGAGCTGACCTCGTGGTCGGGTTCAGGGGGCTGAGGAGACTCACTGAGCTCCTCAGTGACACAGGACAGCAGGGACTCCTGGCCCATTAGCAGAGTAGACTCCAGTTTCTCCCTCAGCAGCAGGTAATGTTTGGTCTTCTCCACCTGAGAGAATATGGAAAAGACTTAAGCCACAGGAAGTGGGTTGGAAAAATTGGTACTGTATAGTTTTATTATTTTTTTCATTCTAACTTATTTGTATTGTTTTTATGTATTTGTGAAACCAGCGAAACTTTACATAGCTACATTAAATAAATGGTTTTAGATCAGTGCCTGGATGTCTCAGTTTTCTGCAGTTAAATCACAACAAAACTGAAGCTCTTGTCTTGAAATTTTACATCAGCACTTCTTGTGGTAATTGTATATTGCCAGTTGAGCACTAGTGAGTTATTCGGTCCTGTTTTTGAATTAAGAAACATTGCAACGTGAAGTGTATAGCACAGTTACAGTTAGTTCAAAATTCTGTGGCACAATGCCAACTTCTGACTTATATGTTGTGAATATGATCATACAAAAGGCTTTTACACTTTCCTTTAATAACCTTTTTATGTTGTGTTCTTTTAAATTAGGTTGTTAGCTTTTATTGACATTTTATTTATATTAATCTTAATCCTAATTACTTAACTTGAATAAATTAGGGTTAGAGTCTTCTTTACTTAGAAGACTCTAACCCTAGTTTCAATAACAGTATGCTTAGACACATTTATGACGAAGGCTTATTTGCTTTTTGTTGAAATGCCCTGTTTAAAGTGCATTTCATATGTACAGTAAAGTATATGTAAACCAATCCATCTTTACAAATGTTCAAATGTTACTGTTTACATTAAATAGATGATTTAGAGGCACATGTTTTTGTACATCTAGGTTCAATAAATAACTGCCAAAAGTAGCTTGCACTATAAAAGAAAAGTAACTAATGCCCCTCACATCTTGAAGTAGACTGAGTTTCTCCAGCTCCCACTGGTGATCCAGAATGAGGCTGTCACTACGCGGCCTCCACCCAGCAAGGTTCTCCTCCCCACGGACGTAGGCCACTGAGGTGTCCAGCACCCGCCTGCGTCTCCTCTGCATACCTGTGGTGGGCAGGTGCAGGATTAGAAATGTTCTACAGGTTAGCTTTGTGCAAAATACTAACTTTTTCTTGACTCTCACCTGGGCTTCCTGCATCTGCCAGGTTACACAGGCTGACCTCATAAACTCCAGTTACACGGTTTCTGGGGGAAAAACAAACAAACAAACAAACAAACAAAAAATCAAGCTCTTCAACAGAGAGAACACAGGAGCTACATGATTTTTTTTTTTTGAAGGTTGGAACTCACCCATCCGCGGCTCTCAGGCTTCCAGTACCAAAAAGGTTTCGGATAGAGCGGGAGGCTGAGAGCTTTGTGTCTCGAGAGTAAAACACCATGCAGATATCTTTGGTTATGACTGCAGGCTGGGTGCAGTTCTCCATCTGCAATTGATAAAAGAGGAGCGATTTCCAACAGTGATCCTCTGGAGTAATTCACACATCACCTCTGATATCGTGAGAGCTATTTCTGCCTCTCATGAATGCAGGCACTGTACTGTACCTCCAAGTAGGCAGAGAGGGTCATGTAGATCTTCTCCCCATATGGAGTGACTCGGTTTAGTAACAGGGAGTTGTGCATGGAGCTATCCCATGCTGCCTCGAAGCGGTAGAAGGTCCTGAGGTGATCCGAGCGAGAAGAAACCAAGAAAATGAATCAGCATTCAAAATGTAAGTCTACCTGAACAACAAATTAGCAGTCAGAACTAAACTCATGCTAAAGTCTATCGACCTAACAACTCATGTTAACATACAAATCAGGATCCAAATCCAAACAATAATAATTAAAAATACATCACTTACAGAAAGATGTAGACTAACATTTGATTTGGTACACTGAGAAAATAATATTATGATTTGTAAAAAACAAACAAAAAACAACTGTCATAATCAATCTACTATTGGCATTGTACAGCATTTAAATATTGTAGTAAGTATTCCTTAAATGTTCAGCTCAACAGAAGTGCTAATGAAATCTTTTTGCATGCAACAGGCTGGCGGAGTTGATGATCTGTTTAACACCACAGAAAATCAAAGAGAGCTGAGATGACTATCGGTACAGAAAAAGGAAGGAGGGATGAGAGACAGCCAGACGAAATGAGGGACAGGGCAGTGAAATACCTATGGTCAAGTCCCAAGGAAATGCTGTGAGAAAGAAGAAATCAGCAAAAGAATAGAAAGTGAGAGTCAGGAAATATGTTGTGGTTGTGCGCTTGTGTGGCTGGGATGGTGTTTGTCTTTTTTCACACTGTTATCTCATTATGTAAACACTGCCATGGATCATACAGCTCACCCATAGGAGGCCGTTGAGAAATCCTGTGGAAGGTGCTGATTGACTTGATGCAATCTCTCATCCTGTTCTACCATTAAAAAGGTCAAATAACAGCACATGGCCATTCCTCAAGCAAAACAATACTGCTTTCTGTTACGCCTCTGATTTACTCCATACGTTAATGTACACGATTTTCCCATTTCCCCCGAGGGGAAATAATCATACACTGAAACAAGTTATTCTTCTGGCCTGCGTCCCGGTACGGCCTTAAATTTAAAAAAGATAATCCAAGCAAGAATTGTAAAAGGAGACTAATGTTTCTGTAAGCCATAAAAACAGGCTGTATGGACTCTTCATGAGGTTCAGATGTTGGGCCCAGTGGCCTTGGACTGAGGTGACCTTGTGGGAAAGTGAACAATGTGTCACCCAAAAGAAAGCAAACAGTAATGGACTGAGTTGACTGCAGTAAAAAGAACTCACTGCTGCTCTGTGTGAATAAAGGGGATTCAGCGTAGAGATGGCCTGTTTTTTTAAGTAATTAGCGAGTGCATTAACACACACACTCACACATCACACTTCTTTCCCAGTAGTAGAAAACTGTTCGCTTACACTACAAGGGAGCAATTTCCTCTTTGTACTACACCAACATGTGCTTCTCTGTGTTTTACTACCTCCTAAAAATGCGGGAGCCAGGATTGAAGTCATGCTGCTGGCGTAACATGTGAGGAGCCGTTTGTTTCTGGTGTTTGGCAGAGTTTCACTGAGGTACAAGCAAGATTTAAAAATATTCACAACATTGCAGCAATTTTGGGCAAAGTGCTACTGGTGAGGTAATGGTTCACTGGATTACATTTTAATAGCTGCATTTGAATCCTGTGCCAGAGTGGGTACTGTAAATGATGTGGTCCATATTACAGCACTTAAGTAATAGTGTTCCTGTTAATATTCTGTAGCTGTGATGGGAAATACTCTCTGTCTCTTGGGATTAGAAGTAACTAACAAAAACATATTCATGGATTCAAAATATTGCTTCGTTAAAAGGTCAACAATATAAAATTATTAAACGGAGTGAAGAGAGGAAAGCCAAAAATGACACTAAAAATGTTTTTCACCATTTTTTGAATATTCTTGCCTTTGTTGTTTCAACTGAACTGTGTTGTAATAATGGATCACTACCACCCTCTACTGGCAAACAATTATACTGAAATCTTTCAGTTAGACCACTGTAAATCATTAGGAGTACAATCATGTTGAATGTGAACTCGCTGCCTTTTAAATTCAATATGCAAATAAATTAGCATCTGTGAACAATCTGGAGTACAATAGAGTAAAAAGGTACTTTTTTAAAATGTCGGCAACATGTTAAATTTCTGTTTCTGTCCAAAATGCTAGAGTGACCAAATGCTGGTAGACTTTCTAATATCAGCCTTAAAAGTATATAGTCTAAGTTCCTGCAGCAACTGCTGAAGTGGAAACAGAGAGTGTGATACTGGCCCCACGACACCTCCGGCAGAGACACAGTCAAAGGACAGTCCACGTGAAGCAAAGCGAGCCATGCAGACCCTGTCCATCATAAACCACAGCCTGATAACAGCTCAAACACACACCCAGCGCAGCAAGAGAACCGGGGACATGCAGAATCACATCCCTCACTTCTCACAAGGGGGAGAAAACAAAGATGCACAGATGAATTGCTGACAGTAATGGCAGAGTAGAAGAGAGGGGAACGAAATCACTGGAGGCCGAGTAGGAATGAATAGGGTGTAGAGGACGTTAGAGGGATGAAAGATGTGTTTTTGTAACTTAAGAGCATGAGAAGAGAGGCAAAATAATATACCTAGGCATGTCCGAATCAAGAAACTGTCTGCAAAAGCAAAAAACAACATTCCGTTAGTGGACTGGAGGGAAAAAAATGTTAGCATCCATATATACTTTGATGTTAGTCTCTGCAAGACTGAGCAGAGACCACACTGGACCACAGCCTGACCTGGTGCAGAACCACTAAACCCAATTCTTGGCCATTGAGGCCATAACAGGACAAACATTGAGGGCTGAAAACCACAGGGGTGCAGCACCATGGTCAAAGAAAGGCCGGTCGAGGAGGGCCACTGGACAGTGCTGCACGGAGCGTTTGGCTGCTTTATTTAAACTCAGTAAACCCAGGTCTGGGTGATGGCGTTGCTGGTATTGTTAGGCTTTTTGCAGAGTGGTTGGGAAAGCAGAGGGATTAAGCAATGAGGGTCACAAAAATTATAAAGTAAATGCCAAAAAAGTACTTTACAGTTTTCATAAATTTCATTTGGATGATGTAATAATTTTGGCCAAATCTACACTGATATTTATCCATATAATACATTGTAAATGTACTGTGAAGACATACTTTCTGATACAGAGTTATTGAGCCATCATACAGTGGTGGCATTAATGGTAAGTGAATTTGGATGTTAAAAGACAAACCACTGAATCATTTTTTGTGTTTTTCTGCCAGTAATTACTGGATTTCTTGAATACATGTTACCTAAGACATAGCAGCAGTTGCCAAAACCTTCATAATGGGGGCCAGGAGTCAGGAGAAACATACTGCCCTCTACTGGCTGGTCGCAGAACAACATAAAACATTACACAACACAATTTAAGTACTTAGGACCAAGGCCCATCTTGTTTGTGGAAACCCCAGTAAAATGTTTATTTTCCTATAAGATGTCACAGTCACAAAGAGCTACCAAATCTCTTTTGTCCGATGGTGACTTTTATGACGTGACAAAAATCTGTGTGAATTTCAGTATGTTAGCAATGACATTGGTCTGTTGGGTTGTTGTTTCCTTTAGTTGTGAGTTCCATTCAGGCTGCACCTTCTCCCTGATATTCAACAGACTAGGCTGTAATCATACAACACACCCATAAACAACATTTCAAGGCTTCAAATTAGACAACGGTCAGTGCATGATTAACTTTGAGTGACTTTTCTTCATTGTTATCTACAGTTTATGATTCTTAAATATCAAGAGTTAATAAAGGGATTCAATAAAGTGATGATGAAATCAAATGTCCAATGTATGAAATCATACTAAGTCCAAGTACAGATAGTTTAAGGTGTGTTAGTGATTTTACACTACTTGCAGTGATACATACTGCTGAATAATTTGGGAAGACATGCATTTGTATTGTTAATTTAATAGAAAACTTAATTCACCAGTGAGATACAGTCAAATGAGGTTGCTTGGTAAAAATGAGTGATTCTTTAAGTCTATAAGCAGGTTAGTGTTGGGGTTAGTAGAGCTAATTATGGTGGAAAAATGAGACAAGTTAGAGGTGAGGTGATAAACAAGGTGAGATGCAACACGAATGGTGCAATGATGACCATCAAACAACAAAAAGCACAGTTTAACAAGGAGGGTCGCACAGCCAGCATGGACAAGTGAATTCACTTCTACAAATGTGGCAAATTTAGTTACTCTTAAATCAAGGTAAAGTGTGATTTTGATTCACTTTGCTCATGGTCACTCTGGATTTTTGTGTGTGGCCTCCTGCAATTAAAAAGAGGACAGCATACTTGTGCAGAAATAATAAAGAAGATAATAACACAAAATAACTTTTTTAGGGTTTGTTAAAACATTCAAGTTGTGCCTCTTCTGCCATGCTTTCTTTTTGACATGTATAGCTGGTTCTCTATGCCATGCATTTGCCCATGTGCCACGTTTCAGTGCAAGAACTGCCACAGCAGTAATAAAGTGACAAGTTCACATAAAAGTGAGAACCATAGAGTGGTTTCCAAATTCAGCAAAGCTGTCACAACCTTAGGTTAAACAAACATATATGCAAACTAGACATTTCTAATGTTGTATTCATAACATACCATATAGATTCAAAATCTGATGAAACATATTAAAGATGGCCTGGACCAGTATTGTGCTTCATTCGCAAGGCTCTGGCTGTTGTAAAGTAATGCGTTTCCATCAAATGGATAGTACATACCGGTCATCTTGCATGGGCCTGACATACCCAGCAGACAAGATGTTGAGAGAGAGAATATTGGGGTCAATGATGGTCTCATCAGCTTCAGGAGTGCTGCGTAGGCGTCCTAGGAAGACACAGGTGCCTCAGTTAGAACAGCTCACACACGAGGTAAGACCACTGTTGGTACAATGTTTGGCTAAAAAACAAACTTACCCACAACAAGCTCACGTATTTCCTTCCATTCCATATCACCTCCTGACTCATGTACAATGGTCACAGTGATTCTCCTCTGAAGGCCCTGTTGTTATGAAGAAAAGGAAAGAAATAAAAAGAGGTGTGGTTATGTTCAGTACCATTAAAATATTCCAGATTTGCTCACAGTGGGATTGACATACCTGGTGCAGCAGAAATGTGCCATGGCAAGGCATTCCCCCTCTGTGGTCCACCACTGCAGGGATGTAGCTGGAAAGACATACATGAAAACAAGCTTCAGTCATTTGGTCATGTGCATTATTCCTTAATTTCACTTCATGGGAAATTTGCTAAATAATTCCAAACATCAGCAGAGTAAAGATCCAGCACTGGATGTTTGGTGAGGGGGGCCCCAGGACACTCACTCTCCATTGGCCTCCAGCTCGCAGATCTCAAAGAATACCATGAGATCATATTTGCTGTGGCAGGGTCCTGCCTGCGGGCGGGTCATGGCTGTCAGCTTGGTGGCAGGTACTGTGTTGGAAAGGGAGATAGAGAGTGTAAGACAGGGTGAGGGAAGACAGAGAGTAGAATAGTTGCTAACAGCAGGGAGCTGCTCTAAACCTACAAAGGAGAGAGAAAGGGAAAGAAGAAAGGAAATCAGTGGTGCAGGGAAAGAGAGGAACCACTCAGTCCTGTAGAAGGAGCTCTTTTCCTTCAACAGATTTATAAGCAACTCTGCAGTCCTTGCTTAAAGGACAACATCACTAAATCTTATTAGAAAAATGTTTGTGTTCTTATGTGATTTGAGATTTCACGTATTCATAAACATTTTATAGTTCTGGGTCTGTGGGTTCTCATTTGCAAGACAACTTTTCTAGTAACAAATGTACACTGAACCATCCTGTGCATGAGGAAAAGCATATGCACAAACTCCTTGAACAGCACTCTCCTTTAATACTATTTACATTGCTGATCTTCATTGTTTTGTATAGCTACGAGTAAGGGTTAATTCCTTCAATTTAAGGTAGTTCCCCAAAGGAGTTCAGAGTTAAGAGAGAGTGTGCATAAAAACGTGCACGTGCAGCTTTGAAGTTTGGCCCAAGCCCAAGCAGGAATAGTACAACATGCAGTATTTTATATAATATGTTATATACTGCCTATATAATGTTGTTTATCAATCATTATTGCCTTTAAATATCATTTCCCTAATTGCTATTTTGTTATATGTCTTATTTCAAATAGTTCACCAGCTGTTTGCAACCTCTTTTGAGTGTTTCTTGCACTGCTGCAACGTTTCCCTTCTGGGGATCAATAAAGTCTTATGTAATATGTGTAATATATAAATATACAGTATAATGTACCGTATAGTTAACATTGCCATCCTATCCCATTCAAGAAGAGCTCAAAGAGGGAACTGCAAGGAGAATCCACCACGCAGGTCGACAGTGAACACACAGTACACCAGAGAGCCAATCCAACTGAATCCTGACACAAGAAAACTCCCTTTTATATCAAATAGTTTCATTTTTAAAACTATTACAGCGTCTTCTAGTCAGTGTCCAGTAGTAACTCTTAATATAAACTATAGCAAAGACTTTGTTCTTTTTTTGTGACACTCTAACTCCCCTCAACAGGAAGGTCATATCACAGAGTCAGTTACAGAACATTGACTTCAGTGTTAAATCTGAGCAGTTATTCAGCTAAATTGATGCTTGTTGTCCGAAAGCTTCAAGCTCTACATAAATGTAACGTGTGTGTTCTTTGAAATAGTAGTAAATAAATTAATTTGATACGGCAGTCACTGGGCTTTGAGTGTTTTTTTAAGTCACACCAATATACACACTTGACATAAAAAGGCATTCAGTCACAGGATTCTCTTGGATCTGACATCAACAACCAACCCGGCTTCTGAGCTTTAATAACTGAACAGATAGAGGTGAGTGGAGCTGTCAGCTGAGCTCGCTCGTTTCCTTCCAGTAGGAAGGAAGCAGCCAAGCCAGCGGCAGACAGAGCGTGGTCTGACAACGAGTCCACCAGCGCCCCACTGAACACGTCTGGGACCAGGTATCGGATCAGCTCCAGCGATTTCTCCCGTTCCGGCGAGGCGTCAGAGTCAACTGCTCACACCCAACAACATGAAGCTAAGATGACATGACTTGCAGGGATACCAATACAAGGACAATGCTACATAAATAAATGGTGGAATTCAAGCAAAGTAACTCCGCAAACAGTGTGTTTACCTGGTTTGGACAGAGGCATCACTCGTGGGAACTGTCTTCTGCAGGGGCGTAGTGGACTGGTTGATAAAAAGACAACACATCATGTGTCACTTAACGAAAACAACAATATACAGTATATCTTTGTCTGTGCAGTAAATCAGTTCTAGCAGCAAACTTTGTAGCCATTTACCTGATGACGTCTTTACAGAGAGGAAGAAAAGGTTGTTTCTGGTAGTGTCCAAACACCTCAAACACAATTGGCTGAGTCTTGATGTAGTCAACAAAGGATTTAGTAACTTCAACAGCAATCTATAAAAACAACACAGTAATATTAAAGCATTTGACATTAAAACCTTCTACAACTGATCATCATCCTACAGGATCTGGCTGATATTTCTTACATTCTGCACATGGTAGAAGCCAAGAGGAGGGCCACGGCCTGTGTTTTTTAAGGGTTCAGTGGAAAAGGCCTCATCATGGCGGTGGATGAAACTGAAATCAATCCAAATTGCAAAACAATTATTTACTTGTAAAACTGTAAAAGGAACATGATAAAGATTGAGAGCCATGGGTTTGAACATGTACAGTAAAAACATTTTGATGAACTACTTACTTGAACTGGCAGAAGATGTCAGCATATTCTGCAGAGATGCTGGAGGCTTGCAGGACAGTCACCCTGAAGGTAAAGACGTTACCAATCTTCAGGTGCTCCAGGGTTGTGTCAAGCGGGCCATCCAAACTGGCCTTCAGCGGATTCTCCAGCTCATCCGCACCAGCTGTGAGGAACGCAAAATTAAAATCAGACCCAGGTTACAGCTTGCACGCCAGGCCAAGTAGAGCTGATTGTCAGTACACTCAATTTCTGGCACATGATGGATAAGGTTCGGCTTTGTGGCGCTGACTTAGTCTGATTTGGGCCAAGTATCACCTGCTTCTTGTTTGGGACCAGCGTCGGCCCTCAAGCCAATTCTAATGTCAGTGTTTCACGCAGAAAGGAAGGTGTGCCAGATTTACGCCACTGTTGGACCGAGTGCGACACTCACACACCCATACACACAAAACATGTAACCATTCACTCATAAAATACGATTACCCGCACATGTGTTGTTGTTGACCTCATCGGCTGAGGGTACCATTTCTGCATTCTGCCCCTCCCCTTCCACTATACGAAGCTCCTCCTGGGAAATCCCTGAACGGGACAGTCCTACGGAGCAGGACTCGGACTGGAACTGCAAAAGAAGGTGAGAAAGACACTGGTTAGCAGGTTACTATATACAGATGATTTCTCTGTGCATCATAGTGATTTCTCTACCTTTTCATACTGCTGGTCCTCAAATGAGATTTTGGCAGTGCCCGACTGCCTCACTCCTGAGCCGTAGTCGGGAGCTTCCTCATCAGCTGGAGGGAAACACAAAGCACCTTCACTTCACTCCCTCAAGAAGTCTCGCACAGCATGTCCTTTTCAATCCCTTCATGCCCTTTGTCTCAGGCTGAGTGTGCGATCCTTACCTGATATGGCCTGCACCGCCACGCGGAGGAAGCCCTTCACTTCTCCCTTCTCGCTGACGATGGCCACGCGGTGGACAAGAGGAACCGGGTACAGCAGGTTACTCAAATAAACAAAAGCCCTGAATAAGGGGCAGAAAGAGAGAAATGATAACAGATTAAAAACAACCGAGCTCAGGAGATGGCTCACACTTGATAAAATATCACTGGACTGGACAACAGAACACAGAGCTGCAAAGCAACCAAACAGAAGCTGGGACTGCTCTTGCGATGGCCATGGCTGCCCTTTACTATCGCTTTGTAGGGGCTTTTTCTCAACATCTATAATTAATGATATTATCAGGACAAATATGGGTCACATGCAGTTAACTTTTGTTTTGTACTGGTGAGAGCTTGGTGAGGCTAGGGAGCATGTGTGTAAGGGTCAACTCTGAATTCTGAACTTGAATTCTACTGTAAACCAGCTCACTACTAAGCTGGACAGCAGCTGTTTTCCACATGACTTCATTCCTGAAATTAAGTTTCTTTACATTGCTTAATGATCATATATTATATACATGTGCATCATGAACGCGCCTCAATATGAAAACACTACACTGCATATCAAATGTACAGAGCCAAAATGAGCGCTTGAGGCACTTTGCATCAGATTTGAAAATACTTCAGGGGTAGTGACAAAGACTAACTTTTGAGAGTATAAATGTGGGAATAACTGCACTTTCTTGGTTTCTCATTTTCTAGTTTTTAAGCTACAGTTCTTGATCTTGCAGTCAAGGACCACGTTTTCCACGGGCCAATAGGGGTAGACATTTAAGGGTGGAGAGTGTCAAAAGGGAGAGGATTATGACAAGATTGGTGAGGTGCAAATAAGGCATGCTCAGGACAAAAAAGGGTGAACAAAAATGCTTTCAACTTCTCGACTCAAAGGAATCAAAAGCAAATGGAACAGAAATCATCATACGGAACATGGCTCAGCTTGAATAAAAAAACTGCCAGCAGCTTGATATATTGTGTGCTACACCAAAAACCAACGAATGACATCAGAAATCAAAGTGCACCTCCTGGGTCGAAGTGATAATTTGTGCAAAGGAGGGGCACTAGTTCATCATCAGACGTACTCAAGTAAAAATTGACAAAAAAGGTCAAAATGAAAAGACTTGTGCTCTGGCATGCCTAAAAGAGACAGCTGCGGTAGAAACCAGCTCTTTCATCTTGAGATTTTGAGTCTTCCTTAACACCACTTTGCTACTTCATCGAAATAATTTCCAGACTCTTTCGTACCTATTCAGGTTTCACATCATGGTGAGAACATTTCACTGTGGGTTCCAGTGTTATGCAAATCAGACCTGAATATACTCCATGAGACATGTCAGTGCTTTGGCTAGTGAATGAACTTCTTTAAAAGCTGCAAGTTCGCATTTAGCCACACATACGTGAGACACACACCTCAAGCAGCCGTTGAGCATCAACTTTGCTTGGATTTCCATGGAAACAAGGGGTATGAACTGACCCACCCTGGGCTGACATAAAGGACTTGTTTTAGAAATAGAATTGTAATATGCAGGAGAAGCATTTAGTCTAACTTAGAGTGAAAAAAACAGCTAGCAGAAAAAACCAAAAAATCAAGCAACAGTCAAATTGGATGAGATTAAAGATAGAAAGCAAAAGATAAACCTCGAAGCCCAGAAATGTCTACTCCAGTGTCCACTCAGTATCATGTTATAAGAGAAATGTGTGTAGTGGTTTGACAACTCAGAACATTTGTGTCTCAAACATGAGACACAGTGACAGTGACAACTGAGACAGGGAATAAAAACTAAAGTGGCTAGTTTGACGTGTACTAAGCAAGCAGGAAGTGTTTAAGAAGATGGAATGAATGAAATTCCCATGATCAAAAAAGTATAGGTAATGTTGGTTTTCAAACATACACTTAAGCTATCCAACTGAAATACCCCAACTCTATGTTGATATTACAACTATGGCTTACTTGTCCCAACTGGACAGTTCAATGGAAAATGTAGCAGACTAATTTGGACAGAAGAGGTGTGGTTGCCACATAAAAAAACAAAAGACTCATGTGCTACAGAAACTTTGATTTCAGGTTTATATTTCTCATGCGCTCCCAGTCCACAACAGAGTGGGGACTCAATATTGTGTTTTCAAAAAAGTCATTTCATCGGTGCTGATGTCTACTGAGGGAAACAGACCCTGCGTCTCAGTGTGAAAGAGCTAGTTTCCTCCACCAGCATGCTCCTGAAACCTCACCAACCTTCCCACTACACTGAATAATGGTGAGCGGTCGTAAAAGGGATCCTGGCCTTCGCTGGAGCCTTGGCAGAGCTCTCCCTCATCATCATCCTCATCATCATCATCATCATCATCATCATCCTCTCCCCCGAGCTCCAGGCACGGGTCGTCCAAAAAGATATCATCGTCCAGGTCCTCTAACTCCTCCAACTCCTCCTCCTCCCCTCGACCCTCCCGCTGCGGGTCAGCCAACTCAGTAATTTCAGAGGTGGAGAGGGTCGGGGATGGGGTTGGGTCACTCATGCGCTCGCTCATGCATGTCTTGAAAATGGGGTTTCTGGTGCAGCCAGAGACATGGGAACTAGGTTAGTACAGTTAGATAGAAAGCAAACACTTCAGAAAAGAGGGGCGGTAGAGCACCATATTGACTGGACCACAGGAGAAAACCTGCCTCCACCGAAATCTGCTTTTACTGTCTGTTAGTGGACAGCATACATGTACGGTGGAGCCACAAAGGAAAGATGGGAGAGTGCGACACAAGCAACAAAGGTTGTTAGAAGTATTTAACCTCCTTTGCTGAGAGTGCATGTACAGATCTCAAGTGTGCCAGACCATGGAGATGATGATTGACACCCTGTAGAACAAAAGATTTGCTTCCAAAGAAGATAGTCACTTCTAGGTATCACAGGAATCAGACACGGTTAGACAAAGGTTGTGTGATCTTTATCTGTTCATGTAACTATTCAAACCCCTGTATGAATATGACCTATCTGTAATATATACTACTATATACTCCAATATATTCTAATGTATATTGGTTTTTATTATTCACATTTATACATATACTCATATTATACGTAATACACACATCATGACTTTTTATTACACCTCTAATTTTACTAGAGATTTTCCTATTTTATTTCAATTTATTTCATTCAAATAGTTCTGTCTCTGTGCTGCTGGATCAATGAAGTCATATCGTATTCTACATAATTACTTACGAACTATCCTACATAACTAAGATGTTAAAGTTAAAGTTATAAAAGACTAATTAAATACAGTATAATAACAATTTTCTGTTGACATTTGCAGGTGACTCCCTGGAGATTTTCAACAGCAACTAGAGTACTAGTGTTAAGCCAGTGTTAGCAACACTAGTTTTAGAAGTAACACTAGTGTTACACTGTTACCAACACATAACACAAATGCCTAGTACATAGTACAAATACACACTCCAAATAAATCTGCTACATCCAACTTCAGTTGATTGCTGGTACATAATTTGTCTGGAGAACTAGATTTCATTAGATGTGGTGCTTTTGGCCACATAAGCCTGTGTTACTCACCTATTGTATGAATAGAAAATCTAAACAAGCTGACAAACATATCTCAAGGGGACATTTTCCACATTACTGCCTGATCATTTTTGCTTGTCTTGCAGGAGCTAAATGACATTGAAGGCTGAATATTGCGTAACAGGGCCATGTGACTGTGTGTAGGACCCATCTGCAAGAGAGAGAGAGCTTGGCAGAGAGATTGGGAGGCTGTGTGCCAAAGTGGGAAAGAAAGAAACAGCAGGCTTAGAGTAGGAGGACTGAAGAAATGTGGATCTCAAATGTTCCAAAGCTGATTTTTCCCATTAAAAAAGACGAGCGTGGCATCAACTAGCATGTACTGATCATTTCCATTGGTTGTCAGATCCCTCTTTTGTGTTAAAGCTGCAAGCCCATGTTGGGGAGAAAAATAGTCACAGAGGGACTTCAGTCAGTAATAAAGCACATACAAAGAAAATAAAGTTGGATATTGGCAGTATACTAAGTTAAAACCTGTCAGTTATGAGAACACATGGCACAGGTCTATTGTGAATAAAATATGCTCATGCAATACATTCAAAAGGTGTTACTGCAAATTTGTGATCACGTTCTTTGATAAATAATGCCATGTAAGTCTTTCTTATAAATACATATTTTTATATACGTTGAAATGGAGAGGGTTGATGATAGTGCTGCACTCAGAGCATACTGGGAATACCATAATGAAGTGGGCTGCAGACTAATTCATGCTGGTGTCTCCGTCATTATGGTTCCATTAGTTGACCACATGCACAATATGTGGCAATATGGCCAACAGCCGCCCATTATCCTGAATGGACAAGTATGACTAACACTGGGCTTCTGTTTGCTCACTGCTGTTGACCTTTGTGTGAGTTCAGTATGAATGCCTTTCTGTCCTGTCCACATACTGTACAGGGCCAACTGTGTTCAGCATTTACCTGCCAACCAGACGGAACCAGGGGAAGCGATCATAAAAGGGGTCCCCTCCAGTCATCACATTTTCACAGTCTTCAGTGGTATTGTTGGGCACATCAGCAGCGCGATCATACATCTCTCTCATGAGATCCAGTCTCTGCCTGCAAGAATCAGCAACAATTGACACATTAAGTCCCTGCATTAAAAACAAGCACAGTATGGAATTAATGAGAAATGTTCTTAAGTGAATACTGTGCTCTTTGTGAAATCTATCCCTCTATAAACATACACTATAAACATGTTATGTTTCTGCTGTTTCTAGTTTAAAAAAACAAAACAAGAATTATATTATTGGCCTCAGTGCATGTTGTGTACCTTAGTTTTTCTAATGTCCAGTAGTGGGTGGCTCCATTTTTCTGATCCTGCACCTCCACAGCCACAATGGTGCGTGGGAAGTGTCGTATCTCTCTGTCCTTACTCGCCTCTGGGGGCAACAGGTCTGGCGGCAGGGGGGAGTACAGAGTGTCTGTGAGCAGGACAAACTGGAACTGAACCTGCAGGGGAACAAAGAGCATTGGTACGGTCAAAGAGCCATATTATAACATCAATCTGCGATCAATCTGTGGTTGTGATGGAGTTTAAATGACAACAACATGTTGGACCTTCTTTTTTAGTTCCACACTGATGGCATTGGCCTCCTTTAGGAAGATGGCATTCCCCCATAACAGGTCACGGAGAGAGGTGAACTGGTAGCAGCGCCACTTACGAAAGCTCCACACAGCCATCTCTCTTTCTCTCTCTGTCCATTGCACTGTGGGCAAAAATGATAAAACATCATCACTTGGTGAGGATTTGCATACCACTAACATAGATATGTATACGTTTTCCAATAATTTGCACTACCTTCCTCTTCTGGCTCTTCCTCTTCTTCAGGAGCTTCTGGGTAGTAACGGTCCACTTGCTTCTGAAGAGCCTCCAGCTTGCTCTCATAATCCTGGACAATTGATTAATGAAGACCAATGTTAAACACATGTGGTCTTGATACATTAACAAGCTATTTAGGAACAGATGTCAGTGAGTAAACTGTCCCATCGATTGACATGTTGAAATGGAGGACCAAAGCTTATTAAAAAATACTACTTATTTTATGTAAAGCATGGAAAAATATCTTGTAGCTTATATTTATTGCATGAGAGGTACTTAGTGTAAAATAACTGATGTTTTTTGTCATTTTGACTACTTAAATACAGTACATACACTGATCAGCCACAACATTATGACCACCTGGGCACCCTGGTGGTCATAATGTTACGCAGTCCCATACCAACAAACTGTAAAGCTCTGTGTGTTCTGACACCTTTCTA